TGTTTCAACTTTGGCACAGTGGTTGCTCCTTAATCTAATGCTATTTCAGCCAGCAATTGAGACTCTACAGTTACTGGCCTGCTTTTCTGGCAGTGGCCTGCTCAGGCCTCAGGCTGGTGGGAATTCTGTTCCCACAGGCACTGGCCCTGTCGCTGCTGCTAAAGGTAGCTTTAACTATCCTAATTATAAATAAGAATCGAGATTCAAAGGCTGGAGTGAAAACCTGTGAGCTCAAGAGAGGCTGAGTAGCAAATAGCTAACCCTCTCTCTTTGCTGGCGTCTCTGAAAGACCTGTGCTTCCACCCTGCCAAACCAGAAAAGGCTGTGCCACTCCAGATCCCTCCTTGCTACTTCCTGTGTCTCTCTCTCTCTCCCAGATGCCCTCTGATGCCCCATGATTACTTTCTGTCAGCTAACTGCTAACTCAGCCTCTTGACCCAAAGTAATTTTATCTAATTAACACAAATGCAAACTTGGGGTGCACAATGTAATTGAATATCCCCCAACAATCCCCGGCTGTCCTGGAATTCACTTTGTAGACCAGGCTGGCTTCAAACTCACAGAAATTCGCCTGCCTCTGCCTCCTGAGTGCTGGGATTAAAGACGTGTGCACCACCTCCAGGCCAGTTTTGAGCCTTTTGAAGAAGGAATCATTGAAAGGAGTTGCTGCTCATCATAGAAAAACTAGAAACTACACTCAAGCAAAAGGCTTCTGCATTTGTATTTAAACCTCCCAAGATCTCACTACCCAGATGTAGCTGGCTTTCTTGGACTGTCAACCCCCAAATCATGACACGGAGACATATTAATTATGACTGCTTGGCCTTAGCTTGGCTTGTTTCTAGCTAGCTTTTTTTTTTTTTTTTAATTAATCTGTGTGCTGCCCTGAGGCTCATTTACCTCATCTGTGTACTGTCCATCCCACTTCCTTCATGGCTGGCTGGCTGGCTGGCTGGCTGGCTCACTGACTCATTGACTCGCTCGCACCTTGCTTCATGTTAGACAAGTGTTCTAGACTGAACCACATCCCCTGCCCTTGATTTTCTTTTGTTGGTGTTGGGTTTGTTTGTTTGTTTTGTTTTTTGTGTATATGTTTTTTGTTTTTTGAGACAGGGTTTCCCTGTATAGCCCTGGAACTCACTTAGTAGACCAAGCTGGCCCCAAATTCAGAGATTCTCATACCTCTGCCTCTCAAGTGCTGGGATTAAAGACACGTGCCACCACACCCTCCTCAATTAGGGGGGGCTGTTTTGGTGCCCCCCCCTTTTTTGAGATAGGGTCTCTCTGTGTAGCTTTGGAGCCTGTCCTGGAACTCACTCTGTAGACCAGGCTGGCCTCACGAGATTCACCTGCCTCTGCCTCCCGAGTGCTGGGATTAAAAGTGTGCGCCACCACTGCCTGGAGCCCTTGATTTTTTTTTTTTTTTTTTTTTTTTTTTTGAGAGAGGATCTCTATGTAGAGGCCATGATTGATGGCCTCTGTTGCTAAAATTCCTTTCCTTAGGAGATAATAATGTCTATCCCTCTTATGGTCCCAACAACAAACCAAGGAGTGACTCTACCAGAGTTTACTCTGGGTAACCACTGGATTTATTAGGCTTATTTACAGAGCTGTGCATAGTGACCTTAAAGCAGTCCTACTGAAAGGTTTGATCCAGCATAGATGATGACTTTTCCATAGCTATGTGCAGTCAGGAGACAGGGATGGGGTCTGTTTTTAAACAATGAAAGCATTTGCCCCAACTTCCTAGCCTAACAGACTATATTGTGTGACATGCTTAGAGAAAACCATTTAATTGGAAACTTAATGGGAGTTTTTTGATAGTTCATCACCTGGAAAAAAACTGTATGCCTTTCAGACCAAGTAACATTTATTTGTAATGCGGGCTTTTCCCTCCCATAATTGGAAAAGTTTTTTCTAATAATTGGAAGTTGATTTACCAATAATTGACTAAAACAGGTTTACTTCTATTATGTGGAAGAGTTAGAGGTGGTTGGAATCTCCATGGCTATCCTTAGTACTGGCTTCTCTTGCTCCATGACTGCTATACTACTGTAACAATGTCCTTTGGCCCAGCCAGCAGGAAGGAGAAAAGGGTACCTGGTTTAGGCAAGCTGACTTCCCTCAGTGCCTTCCTATGGCCCAGGCACTAAGGCCAGCTTAGTCAGATGGTCATGGGAACTGTAATTAGGGCTGGAGTGTTTTAATTAATCCACTGATTTCATAACAGAAGGAAAAAACACAGGAAGGATGACTTTGGGTGCAGCTAGTGTCTGAGCCACCTACTTCATGAAGCTGTCATTCTTCCCAATCTGTCACTGTTATTTTCAATGTGACATAATCATAGCCTTGATTTCATTAGGAATGGATGCTGTTTCTTTGCATAGTAGTTCAATGAAAAGCATCTTCTGATATAACTACTACCTGTTACTTCCATAAATCCTGCTCTGACCCAGCATTTGGAGTTTAGTTCTGCCTCACAAGAACATCGTTTTCCAAAAGAAGTCAGAGATTAAGGAATTTGTGTAGGGCTTCAATGATTTTCATGATGCTAGAGTGCTGGAAAGACCTGTGCTCTCAGTATGTCATTGATGGTTAAGAAAGGAAGGTGACTCTTGTTTCCATTGCTAATTGGGTTGGGCTTTTGTTTGTTTGTTGTTGTTTTTGAGACAGGATCTCACTATGTCACTCCTGCTGTTCTAAGTTTTTTTTCTTTTCAGTACAAGAACTTGAATCCAGGGCCCCATGGATTCTAAGCAAGTGTTCTACCACTGAGTTATGTACATCTCGCCCTGCTAGTGCCTTCTAAGTGCAAGGTTGAGTGGATCTGAGTATCTCAGCCTGAGCATGTCTGGGATCTGAGGTCTGGAGCTTAGAAGCAGTCACTGTAGCTGGGTCCTCCCTACAAGCCTCAAGGCTGCTATCCTCTCCAATAACAGCCACCCAGTCACTGTCTCCTCTTCTTCTTTGCCTGTTGGACTTTGCTTTACTGGACTTTGTCTCCTCCAAGTCTTCCTCCTGGGCTTTAACCCCAGAACACTGATTTTTCTGTTTTTGTTTTGTTCTGTTTTATTTGTTTTTAATGGGACCACTGAGTAGTTGTTGGAATGAGTAGTGACTCAACTGTTGATACCAGCCCAGGTGGCTGGTTGTTCCAAGAGAGAGCACCAGCCATCTGGATCTCACCTGACATGGCCCCACATAGGCTTATGCTAAAACCTGTCCTTGGGGTATGGGAAAGGTAGAACAGCTAAGTCTACTGCCTAGAGGCCAGTCTGATCCACTACAATAAGGGTCCTAATGCCCGTTGGTTGTAATGACCCATCACATTGCATGGCCTTCTACCCGGCAGATGCCTCATGCTCAGCAAATGGGAGACTGGGTGAGGCAGAATGCCCTGTCACTGGCCAGATGCCTGAAACCTGTTCTAAGAGATAGAGGAGCCCATCTGAGGCCAGCAGGTGTCTTAATCCAGGGCTGTCAGGAGACGACCTCTGCAGCAGTGGTAGTTAGCTGATCTTGAGAATGCAGTTCTGCAGCAGCTGCACCCCACTTCCATGCCACTGGATCTGAGGTAGAATGCTTTCTCAGGGGTGTTGCTGACTTGGAGAGCTCCAGGCAAGTCCCTATTTGTCTTAAGATACAGTCCAACAGGAGAGCAATCTAGAGGATTTCTCTGAGGCTGTGACCTCTGCTGTTTTAGGAATGGATGCCACAGGGCTGGAGTGCTCAGTCTGGGTCTTGCTACAATGTCTCAGAATAAAGTTGTTGCAGGTGGTCACATGTAGCATGATCAGGGATCAGATCAGTCCAAGATAGAGGCATTAGTCCCTGGTGAGTATTAGTAACCGTTTCTTTTTATTCAATGTTCTTGTGGTCCAACTTCTGCCCTCCAGCAGAGGACATTTTGGACCCCCTCTGGTAACCTTTCTTCCATTATGAGAGGAAGGCAAATGAGTAAACCAAGCCGAAATGGAGAGCTGGGTTTAGAAAGGTTGATGCAGAGCCCATGTCCCAACTGCTTGCTTAATTTAAAAAGCTTGTACAGCAGCAGGTGCCTCCCTGAGGTACAGTCCAGGTTGAACAATAACAGGCTCTGCTCTCCCTGGAGATACCTAAGACTCTAGGTATCTTTGACAGTGGAAAATTGACCCTGCCTTTAGACATTTAGTATTGCTTTCAGTCTAGTGGGGTCTCTCCACTACAGTGGTGTCTTCTGCAGCCTGGGGGAGGGTTTCCTGAGGTCTCAGCTGGAGGTCAGACTACCTTATTAGTAGAGCAAAGACAATATTAGTTACCTTGACTCTGCATTGTATTGGCATTTGCATGGGTGGCTCAGAATCAGATTGGAAGAAAGCATTGGAGCCTGAGTTGGATCAAGGCAAGGGCACTCACCTGCACTAGTCTTTACCACTACACACAGCATGCACATACAGGCTGGTGCCCCATAAGGGAAGGTAGCAAAAACTCTATTCTTACTATTTATTTACTTACTTACTTACTTTATTTGTTTATTTATGATTTTTCCAGACAGCGTTTCTCTGTGTAGCCTTGGCTGTCCTGGAACTTGCTCTGTAGACCAGGCTGGCCTCAAACTCACACCAAACTCAGAGATCCACCTGCCCCTGCCTCTACCTCCCAAGTGCTGGGATTAAAGGCATGCGCCATTACTGCCTGGCTAAAGATAGGTTTTTATTAGTCAAAAGTCAATGGTTACCAATGAGATGGCTCTGTGGGTAAAGATGCTTAGCACGCAAACCTGATGACCACCACAGAAAGGTGGATTGAGACAACTGACTCCAGAGTTGTCCTCGGTCCTCCACACACATGCCATGGTATGTGCATATAAACACTAAAAGTTTTAAGAAATTAATAGTAACAAGAACTTACCAAAATGAATATGGTTAAACCTTTTCCATTAGCTTTACATAAAGCCTTCTCATAAGAAAATGGTTATTAAACTAAATATAACTAATAAACAGCTTAACAGTAACAAGGAAAAAAACCTACAGCAGTGTCTTGAATTTACATGTCATCCTGTGCAGGAGATCCTGCTATCACTATATCATTTGAATTTTAGTATATGTGCTGCCAAAGCAAGCACACCTTTATTAATTCTTAGTATGTGAGTACAGTATTGAGCCCGTGTGTGTGGGTGTGTGTGAGAGAGAGAGAGAGAGAGAGAAAAAGAGAGAGAGAGAGAGAGAGAGAGAGAGAGAGAGAGAGAGAGAGAGACATGTGCCTTTGTGCCTGTGGAGGTTATGAGAGCGTTGAATTCCTTAGAACTGGGTGGTTTTGAGCTGCCATGTGAATGCTGAGAACTGAACTTGGTTCCTCTGTAGGAGTAACAAGTGTTCTTAGTTGCTGAGCCATCTCTCCAGCCCCTGGTTTGAACTTTTTGAGGCATTGTCTCACTCTGTAGCTCAGTTTGGCTTCAAGCTTACGGCAGTCTTCGTATCTCAGCCTCCCAATGCCGAGCACTACCATTCCCGCCTAAATCTGTAATTGATTTGTCACTGTTAAAATCTATTGGTGATCTATTGGTAAATATTAATTGGCGTTTTGAAAACTTAATCTGCCACTGTGAGCTTGTCAAGAGTTTCATGACACTTCAATCTTTCTGGTGTTGGGGATTGAACCTAGGACCTTGCATATTCAAGGAAGTTGCTCTCCCACTGAGCTATATCCTTAGCCTTGATCTATTTTTTTAATTCTTCATTTTTTGTTTTTAAGTATTTAAGAGAGATTTCTAATATGGTATTGATAAGTCTGTATATAAGTCCATTTGAAGTGCTCAATAATTAGGTGTAAAGAAGTCCACAAGGAGGATAAAAAAGAAGTCCACAGAACAAAAAGTTTAGAGAACCATTGTTGTGTAGACCTGGAAAAAGTCATGTCAGAAAGTCCCTCTAAGCCTTGTCCTCTCCGTCACCTTTGCCTCATCCCCTCGTCTTCAGTCCTGTGAGAGCTTGTGCACAGAGCTGGCCAGGCTGGTTGCCCCATGTCTCAAGATTCAAAATTCCCCTTTCCTCTCTCCTGAGCTTTGCCACACTGGGACTTGGTAGTATGCCTGCTGCCTGGCACCCTGGGGAACAGAAAAGACCATGGGAATATGCTGGTTACCCTCAGTTGCAGTGTGTAGGACAGTTTCAACCAGAGAATTAAGTTTATTCTAAGACCCTACAGCCATTGGCTGTGGCTAGGAGATATGCACCCTGCTGTCACTCTCCTCCAAGGGGCCCTTTATCAGTGGCAGGCTGCCAGGCTCTGCCTTGGCCTTAGATCAATTGTACTGTAGAATGAATAGTTGAGAGCCAAGTAGAATGCCTGGGGCAGTTCTCAGGGCCCTGAGGCCTTGTGCTTGGAACTCCTCTCTGGGAAGCAAGAGACCCAGAGAAGAACAACTGTACTTAGCATACCAGGAGAGTCCAGTCCCCATCTCTCTCCCTTTTCATACCAAGTGTCTTAGTTTGCTTTATTTGTTGTGATAAAACACCATTACCAAAAGCAACTTGGAGAGGAAGAGGTTTGTTTTAGCTTAAAGCTTCCAGGTTACAGTCTATCACCACCAAGGGAAACCAGGACAGGAGTTCAAGGAGAAACCCAAAGAAAACGCTACTGGCTTGCTGCCAGACTCACAGCTACTTTTCTTACATAGCCCAGGTCCACCTGCGTAGGGTTAATACTGCCTTCGGTGGACTGGGCCTCATCACAAGCAAGAAAATGCCCCCCAGACATACCCATAGGCCACTTTTACAGAGACAGTTCTTTGAGGTTCTCGCTTCCCAGGTGTGCCAGGTTGACACAATTAGCCATCATACCAGGCAGTACTGTCCTTCAGGGACCTGTTTTGGAATTGTGTTCTTTCAGAGTACAGCCATGTGCTACATAACAATGTTTTGGTGAAGGTTGGATTGCATGTACAAGGGTCCCATAAGATTAAGTGTTGTCACAGCCATCTTAGTTTCTATAATCTGTGACATTTGTACTACATGAAATTGCCTAACAATTTATTTGTAAGAATAATTTCCCACTACTTATTATGTTTGGTGCTTTTGTTATATTGACCAAGCTGTACAACTATCACTGTGATGTAACTACAGAACACTTTCAACCCCTCAGCAGGATCCCCTCCCCCATGGAATGTACTAGAGATCAGGTTGTATGCGTGCCTGGGACAGGGTTTTTCTCATAGAGGAAGGTGGAGAGACTCTGACATGCTAAGACCCTGGACTTGAGGCCAGGTTTGTCTGATTCCAGATCTCTTAATTGTCCATTCTGTTAGCCTGATACAAGCCAACCCTTTCTCCTCTTAATGGGAGATGAAATGGAATTCTGGTGCTCTGCTGACCCCATGTTATAAGACTGTAGATGTTTCTCCATGGAGCTGAGTCACATTCCATATGGCCTGGGATGGGAGTCAGGAGTAAAGCAGTTTGCTTTAGTTCATGGCTCTGTAGAGTCTCCTAAGTTTTGGTAGGCACCCCAGAATGTCAGTTCCATCCTTGCTCCTGTGAAAACCCCCATCTGGAAGTCCTTCAGAGAAGCAGGAGCTCAGTCTGGTGGGTGAGTGTGGCCAAGTAAAGGTAAAGTTGCAACTCCCTGGTAGAACTTCAGCAGGGTGAGGGGAAGCCAGGTGGGCTGTACTGCTGAGATGCCCATCAGGTTTCCATCCCATGATTGCTACTTTGAAAAAGTAGCCCCCAAAGCAACTGAATGAAATGTACATGGCATTTCAGACTCAGACATTATCTGTAGGTTGGGACTGTGAGATGTGAGGTGGCTTTTCAGAAGAGTGGCCCTATATATAACCCAGAGTAATAGATAGAAGCTCAGCCATGGGTCTGCCTGTGGAAAGGTGGGCTGAAGCTGCAGTGTGGTGCAGGCAAAGAGCCCTATACTCAGGTTGCCTGAGTGACTTCCTGCAGAAGGCATGGGGGTGTTAGGCTGCATTGGTCACAAGTAGAGTTTCTCAAACTTGTCAGTATTGAAATTGAACCCAAAGCTTGAATCTGACCCTTCTGCCCCTACCACCGATTTGTTAAATTTAGAAAGCAAGGTGTCCTGGTGCCTATAATAGCAGCATTTGGGAAACTAAGGCAGTAGGATGGAGAATTGGAGGCCAGACTGAACTACACAGTGAGACTATTTCAAAGAGGTAAAAAATGAAGTTGAAGAGTTAGGGACAAAAAGAATCATGAGCCCCAGGATCTCTCACCCTTGGCAAACTTGGTACTTCTGTCTGTGTGCTTGGACATACTGTAAGGGCATCTGCTTCTCAACCAGTGCCTTGCAGCAAGTACTCAGGACACTTGATGGGATAAAAGTGTTTCTCTTGCCTGACTCTTAACTTTTCATACCTTCCAAGCAAAACAGAAGGGGTAAAGTCAGTGCCAGACACCAACCCACAGCTGATTCCTTTTGCATTCCTTCGAGCATGGGAATTGGATCTGGGGATTGAGAATGGTGGGCACCCAGAGGATCCAGCAGCTGTGCCACTTGGGGGAAAAAAAAAAGGGTGGGGAGTGGTTAAAGCTGTGAGTAAGCATGGTGAGTAGCTCACCTGGAAGCCTGTGGTTAAAGATGTTGTTTTCTCTTTCCCTGAAATAGCCTCCTGGATCCCTGTCTCAGCCAGTAGCTGAATTACTCTACCTGCTTTCATTCTCTGTGCACCAAGAATCTGAGGTAAGAAATCCAGAGCCCTTTCCAAACCCTGCTACAGCAGCCTGTGGTAGAAGTCCACTCCTCCGTGGCTCAGTTAAGAGTTGGAAGACTGGGTGCAAAGCTTCCCTGGGTAGAGGTAGGGGTCAGGTTCCCAGAGAGGATTGCTGGGACTTGTCCTTAGAGTTCTATCCTTACCCTCCAGCTTCTAAAGAATTGTGGGTGGAAAGTGTAAAGGTGGGTTGTCCCTGGCAGAGATAGAGATCCCAAGTGTCAGAGGGAGCCCAGTGGTCAATGATGCTCCCAAGGTCACTGAACCTAGCCACCAACCCTGATCTTCCACACACTTAGATTTCCTTTTGAGGAAAGTAAAAGGTGATAGAACTCAGGTACTGAGCTTGAACCAGAGAATCCCTGAGGAGCCAGAGAAAACACTTAAGTGCTTGGGCCTGGTGGGCATCTGAAGATGGTCACAACCTAGTGTGTTGGCTGTGCATAGAAACAAGGAGCTGAATTTATTTTCCCCCCAGGTCCAGGAGTATCAGCAGCAGAGATGTCTAATGAGCCACCCCCTCCTTATCCTGGAGGCCCTACAGCCCCACTACTAGAGGAAAAAAGTGGAGCCCCACCTACTCCAGGTAAGGATGTCAGATTGCCCTTGGTAGAGATCTGGGTAAGGTCCCCAGATGGGATTGCTAGGGCTAGTTCCTTATGTCATTAGCTATTGTCTTGAGGGTCTTTCCTGACCTTAGTCTTCTGGTGTCCCTGTTGCAACTCCCTCTCCATTCCAAGTGTGGTTGAGGCTTTTCACAGTGAACTAACTAATCCTGCTTCAGGGTCACCCTGTGCCCAGCCTGTGTGTAGAGACCAGCTTAGCCGCCGCCTTTCTGCCCCTCTCTGTCCAGGCCGCACCTCCCCAGCGGTGATGCAGCCGCCACCAGGCATGCCACTGCCCTCAGCTGACATTGCTCCCCCACCTTATGAGCCACCGGGTCATCCAATGCCTCAGCCTGGCTTTGTACCCCCTCACATGAATGCAGATGGAGCCTACATGCCTGCAGGTGAGTCGGGAAGAGACTTGAAGAAAGCAGAGGCAGCTGCCACCTCAAATTCACTGTGGGAAGGCATCAGTCATGCCATATGAAATGAAAATGGTGGCAAAGGAGGAGCTTGTCACCCACCGAGGGAAGGTTACAGTGGTTCATGCTAAGGACTGTGGTGTGGTGGGGCTTTTCCCTCTCAGGGACCTAAACCCCCAGTGGAGGCCTGGGCCTTTGCTCACCAGTAGCTTCAGGCCCAAAGTCTGTGGTTCCTCTAGTTTCTGGGGTTGAGTTGGGTGGTCTTTGGTATATTAGACATTGACATGCAAAAACTTCGTAGACAGGAGAGGTATGATGCTTTCCCTCTTGTTGCTGAAGCCCTCACCCTTGCAGGCATGGAAGA